GTTCTTTTAAACCTACTTTGCCACAAAGCACAGAACAGATAAAGTTTTTATTTTGAAAGTTATCAGCCTTATAACCAATAGCCTGAGACATATTTGTCTTCACCTCAACTCCTTCTTCATTGCTTCTATTTTCTCCTTTTTATACTGTATACTTCTGATATAGCAAAATTGGATTGATGATAGTGAGTGGGTGAGAGAGGTAAAAAAAGAAAGATAAATCAAGAAATGACAGTTGAAAGGGCAGTAATAAACTTTGACTTGGCAACTGGTTGAAAATTATAGCACAGACTAAAACATTGATTTCATTTGTTGTGTTCCAATTTTATGAATGTGAGGAGCAGGAAAAAAACAGATTCCCACTGAATATTATCTGTTCTTTTTCAATTAATGGGAAATACAGTTCATCAAAATTTGATAAGCAATGAATACCAAAAAAAGCACCTATTTTCTTATACTCAAAATAATAATTCTTTATTCTTATTAAGCCCTTCTCAGGAACTTGCACAAATAATTTCATTAACCATAAATAACAGCACTTTCATATAGAAATATTTTGCTGTTTACAAAACAAAGACTTTTGAGCCATACTAGCTAGCTATTTGTGAATTTAGACAGGTAATGACACAATTCTAAATTTTATTTTTTTTTAAAAAAAGCTTTTAACTGTGTTCTAAAATTCAAAATTAAATCTTCTCTTTAAAAGCTCAAATGATCCTGAACTCAAGTGACCCTCGAATTCTACCAAAACTAAATTCAACCGATAACAGCTTAATCTATATTTTAGTGTATTTTTAAAAAAATTTTTAAACGTATGTTTTTACTGACTTCAGAGAGGGATAGGGAGAGATAGAAACATCAATTACAAGAGCATTGATCAGCTGCCTCCTGCACACCCCCTACTGGGGATTGAGCCTACAACCCTGGTATGTGCCCTGACCGGCAATCAAACTGTGACCTTCTGGTTCATAGGTCCACACTCAACCACTGAGCCACATGGGCTGGGCTATATTTTAGTTTTTTTACTGTATCCTTTTTATAAAACTCTATTTTAAACTCCCATGGAACCATTCTCCATAGTACTCTTCCTCCTCCTTCTCATTTTAATTGTGGATATCACTTATAAATCAGCCCCTTATTCCTTGTCTTATTTTATATTTAATTCCCCTGAACACAAGGATTCATGCACCACCTATATCAATTTGTATCTGTCCAAATCTGACTTTAACTTATTGGGGCACATTTACTTATCAATCATACTTAAACTCCTCTCCCCTAAATTTCCCCAAATAGATGCTTCAACAACTAGCATCTATTCTAAAAATGCCAGATTCACTACTCCTTCCTTTACAAAGTCCTTAGTATTGTCCTTTCCCTTTCCCAGCCACCAGCCTCTCCAGGTCATTATCATTCACATATATTATTTCAATAGCCTCTTAGCTGACCGTCCTACTTACTTCCAACCTCTCCACACTTTGTCCAACAAATACAAAGAGCTACCAGAATTTACCACTTCAATTTGCCCTCTTAGAAACCCACAGTGCCTTCCCAGGGTTTCAATTCCAAACTCTTTGGCCAAATGTGCTAGGTAGTTACAGTATAGAGGCCCTTTTTAAAAATCACCTAAGTAAACAGATTTTTTTTTTTCTTTAACTTAACAAACATAGCTACCATTAGCCCCTCACATACTTCTAGATTTCAAAAATCATCCTGTTTTAAGATCCCACAAATGGTATAATGTAAGGGTTAAGAATATGGGTTCTGGAGTTTCATTTGAATCCAGCCTCAACCACTTAAGAACTAAGTCACATAAATCAAGTCCTTTAACATAATCTACTTCACTGGGACACTAATCCTACCTCCTAAGGGGCTCTGAAAATTTAAAAATACTCTTTAAAGCACCAGGCCAATACACAGTACACTGTAGAATTGTAGAATGATCAATATATGTTAGCCATTGTCATTAGTTTTATATGGCCACTCTGATCTAGGCAAGCCAATTTGATTGCTCTACCAGAGGGTATACATTTGCTTTCATTATTCTTTTTTATTTTATTTAAAATATATTTTCATTGATTTCAGAGAAGAAGGAAGAAATATCAATGATGAGAGGTGTTACCTCCTGCACACCCCCCTAAGAGGATCAAGCCCACAAGTCCCAGAAATGTGCCCTGACCAGGAATCAAACCATGACCTGGTTCATAGGTTGATGCTCAACTACTGAGCCACACTGGCCAGGCATGCCTTCACTATTCTTGACTCCTTCAACCACAAACTGTTAGAAATGGAATAGGTCGCAGAGAGGATTCAAGCCTGGATTATTCAATTTGGTGTTTAGTACTGAATTAAAACAAGTGCACACATGTCACACAGAAAACAGTCCTTAGTAAATATTTGTTGGGTAAATATGTTAAATGCTAAAGAAATGTTTAGTTAATATGTACCGTACTTTTGTCTCTTATTATCTTTAAAATCTTAGCAAATCATATGCATCTAAAATAAAACTGTTTCTTAAACAAAGCCCTATAGCTTCAAGTAAGTACAGTTTGAAGTACTCAAGACAGGAATTAAAAATAAACAAACAAACAAAAAAACCTACCATGTTACTTGTTAGCTGTCCTCAAATTGATTCAACTAACTACACTGTATCTGTCTAGGTACTTTAAGCCTTCCTGAAGGTATGTATCTATGTTCTCTCTCTTATCTATTAGTAATTCTTAGGTCACTGCTTAAAAGTTAGTGCTAAATGTGCAGTTATGAATTCCACCAATTTTCGAAATAATAAGAGCACCATCAAAAAAATGTGTAAAAATATAGTAAGATTTTAAAGTTGTCAAAAAACTAGGCATAGTTCTAGCCCTTTCTTTATGCTTCCATCTCTCCTCCCCAAAAACAAATCCATACAGAACTACAGATTTTTCCCAAGGGATTTTTAAAATTGGAAGGGCCTCAGTTCGAATGCGGTAGGTAGGTGGAGATGGGAGCAGAGCAAGGACAATGGACCAGATACAGAAGGTCACCAGAGCACCAAAGCCCTGGTGCTTAGCAAAAGAAAATTTCAAGGTGGGACCTCATCCCCAGGGTGACCTTTCCTCGCCTAGCATATCAGGGGTTGTAAGGTTTGGACCCCTTGATCTTTTCTCCCTGGATTAACACCTAGGCCTCAGTTGTATTTCAGCTCCAGATCCAGAAAAACAGCAAAACCAAACCAGCAACACCCTAGGGAACCTCAGAATCAGCTGCCCAGACACCAATCAACCAATCAGTGAAAGCCCTGACCTGAAAGGACACACCTACAAAGCTGCTGAATATTCTGAGATATTCCCTTAAAATCTCCCCTAAAATCTCCTCCCTTAAACCCTTAAGTGGGAGGACCTACCTCTATCTGCCTCCCAGACACGCTGGGGCTCCTCCTTTTCCTTTCCCCTCCCCCCTGCCAACATTACCATTTAACTTCCTCACTCCCAGGCACCCCCAGAGCCCTTCTTTTACCTCTATACCTGTTTCCTAAGCCCATTTCTTCTACAAATTACCTCTTCTACCTCTGTGATTTTTCAAATAAATGTTCTCTTATAGTCTGAGTCTTGGCTCTGAGTTCTTTCCTAGCCAGAACTCAAGTACTGAGGTTGCTGAACCCAGATCCAGTACAACCCTGGCAGTCTAACATCTGGTGACTTCCATCATCTACAGTGCCCATTCCCTTAAGTCCTACTGAGTCCCACCTGAGAAGATGAAACCCAGGAAAGCGAGATCATTAGCTCACCGGTACAACCAGGTAGTGTCAGGACTGGAAATTGAACCCAGTGTTCCTGTCAATGCTCTTTTTGCTACATCATGCATCATTTCAACTGACTTCTCCCATGCCTACTTAATCTAGAAAACAAAATTAACTATATCACATGAACTCACAAGACAATTGGATATAATCTATATATATAGTGTGAATATTAACATGTTTTTTGATATCTTCAAGAACTTGTGTAAGGAATAAGAATTTCAAACCATAAACAGAGTATTTCTATTACAATTACATTTATTCTGGAAATTATGCTTCCCCTAAAATCAACTATGCAGCCTCATCCCCAAAAATAGGTTAAGCAATCCAAGTCTCAGATAAAAATGTCATCTATTCCAGGCTCATCAGCATATGTTAGAAACTGTTCCTAATATAGAATCATAAACTTTTGGAGTTGGAAGGAACCTTGAAGATCACCTCTCATTTTACAGAGAAAACTAATACCCTACAGGGACCTGCCTAAGGTCAGAATTTCTGTACAAGAAACCAAGTCCTGAATAGAAAGTTCTCAAAAGGCTTGAAAGAAAAAGCACAATATTTAGTGGAATACCTTAGTTTATCTCTCTTTACATCTACTTAAGTATAACTTCCTACATGATGAACTTTTGGAATTTAAGAAAAGAAAGCAAAACAAAAAACTAAGCCAACATTTTTTTTAAGTTTATAGCTAAGTCACTGATCCTAAAAATTTATCTCAAGTTAAGGTGGATCCTGGCAAAATCTCAGATAGTAATATTTTTTAATAAACCCCAAAAATGTACAGATATAATAGTTAAAAGTAAAGGGAAAAAAAGACACACATAAATTAACTAGCTATAATTGTTTATCTCTGTAAAAAAAAATTACATAGGGAATTGTTTGTATGAAAACTTTAAAAACATGCAAATTTCAAGAAAGAATTTTAATGTCAATACATTCATAAATTTTATTTTGGTCAGTGCTTAAGAGAAGCTGGAAATTCTTTTTTTTTAGCATTCTTTTACGTGTCGAGTCATGTTACAAAAACAATAATTGAGGAAAATATGTTATCAAACTTTAAAAGAGTTAAAAACTTTTGTCCAAACCTTAATAAAATAAGAATTATAAGCTATATTATCATGTTAAGAATATATGACGATAGACCATTCCTAAAAGTTAAGGCCTGACAAGTACTAAATTTACACCTTTTTCCTCCAGTAAAAAGAGCACACCACATAAGCCAATTTACCTGTAAGAATATGTTTCTTAACTCATGAGCATCACCTCGCTTGGTTGTCTGCACCTGTGAGAAAGAAGAAAAAAAAAAAAAAAAAAAAAGCCGGTTAATGCTTCACTAGAGGCCACATAATCTCTTCAGATTAGAGTTCACACGTGCTAACAATCAATGCTCTTATCTTTTATAAGGGCATTTAGTATAAAACAAACCAAAAGCGCTAATACCGATAAGAACTGTCAAATTGGAGATCTGTGACTACAGGGTAGAGAGACAAGTATGAAGAGCCTAAAATAGAGAAAATCTACCAGGTAGATTTCATCGGGATTGCAAAGGGAAGGCAGAGAGAATCAATCCATTACTTTACTACACATTCACTAACAACAAGGTTAGTAACCACCCACCTTCAAATCAAGAGGCCAGCAAAGGTACATCAACAGGAAAGCTGAAACACCCAAATTAATCGCATGGCCTAGCAGCTTTTCTTACCCATGGAAAGCAATCCAGAATACAATTATTCTTGGCTTCCCTCTTTCCCCACCCAACTTAAAATATGAAAGCTGCTACGTTTCCAAATACTTCCGACATTCTGCCACCTGCAGCGCAAATGCCAACCAATGCCTCCAATCACATTGAAGCCCCAAATTACTCAATTACACCATCCCCCCCCCCCCCCCCCACGCAATATACAGATGCCTTAGGTACCCCGACTTTACATGCCACTTCCTCCCACTCCCTTTTCGATGGCCTCCAACTCCGGACTCACAAACCCATGCACTTTGAGCAGGACAATACTCGTCCTTCACCGACCCGGGGTCCTCACAAGCCCCTCTCACTCACAATCCCTCCTCCTTCCCCTCCCCCAACCAGGCATCCTCTCCCTCCGGTCCAAGCCCCACACAGCTCTCCCACCCGCGGGCTGGAGCCCCAGGACACGCTATCTAAGAACCAGGCGAAGAAGGAAATGGGAAGAGGTGAAGGGCTACAGGCAGGGTCCCCAGAATGTCTCTTATGCAATAAAAGCAGCAGTAGAGAGTTGGAGTCACCTTGACCGCCATGCTGTGCTCGGAAGCCGGGGACGAGCCGGGGAGCGAGCAGGGCCCAGCTGTCAGGGCGCGCGCGCGCCGCCTCCCCGGCCGCGCCCGCCCTCCCGCTCGCCGGCGCCGCGCGCGTCCCTATGCAAATGAGCCGGGGCGGGCGGGGCCGGGAGAGGGCCCAGCCGGGTCCCCAAAAGGGAGCTGACCCGGGGGCGCCACCGCTCCGCGGAGGCAGGGGACGCGCCTCCATCGGGGAAGACTGTAGGACCAGCCGCGGGATTCCGACGGCCGCGTGGTTGCTGAAACTGAGTCGCCGCCAGGAAGCCCCAGGTTTCCTAAGGGCCTAGTGGGTGTGGCTTTAGGCAACGACTTCTGCCAAAGTCTTTTTGTCCTGAGACTTAAAGGAACACTTGGGGCCTAGATTGAGCAAGATCTGGAAGGACCAAAGAACATGTTCCATTCATAATAATAAAAAATGAATTGATGACAACTAATGGCAAATACTAACAAAAAAGATTGGAAACGACTCACTCTGGGGGAAACCTCAAGCAGACATAACTTGAGAAATATGCCCCTAAACTGGCATGGGATGAATAGGCTTACATATTTGTGCTTCATGTACTATTATAAAGCTTTTTTAGGCTCACTTCACATTTCCAGTCACCCAAATCTTTTGTGCAATGAGGTATCGCACAAATGCAAATGGGGGAACAACATTTGTCTTGAACTCGGCTGTCACTGAATCCTGGCCCAATTTGCCCCTACATAAACATGTCCAGCCCTCCCTGTAAGTAGTAGCTAGTCCTTGAACCAAAATAATGTCTCTAAAACGGAGTCCTGCTATTATGACTATATTGAGCCACATATTGCTTCATTCAACAAACATTCACTGGGCTGCTATAATATGCTAGACACAGTTTTGCTTGTAAGGGCAACATATAGTCCCTACCCTCTAGGTCCTAGAGTCTAGGAGTTTTTGATGGTCAGTGGTTCCATACAATCTCAACCCTAAGTGTATGTTTCTGTTTGTGTCTTTAAACCAAGCATGCTGCCTGTTTAAAAAAAAAAAAAAAAAAAAAAAAAAAAAAAAGGTCTAACAACTCCAAGATTTATCCTCATAGGAGGCATCTTTTTTTTCTACAGTCTCACTAATCATAATTGTGTATCAAAGTTAATAGAAATGAGAAAAGGGTAACAAATGGCTATTGTTGATAAGGAATGCTACATTACTAGTACTCCTAAAATGAGCTTTTCTGCTACAGTTTATTTACTTGCCTACAACAGTACATCCTTCTTCAGTCTGTTCAAAGATCTTTAACAATATAAATTGGACATAGGATGTACAAATTCACATTTTGTTCCACTAGCATCTTATGACCCTGATACTCTCTTATTTTATGAAGTTTCTCTATGTAAGATTCTTGAGATGTTTATTTGTTACTCTACAAGGGTCAGATGTTTGAATAAAAGTACTTGTGAGCCCTCAAGTGTTTGGTGGGGTTCTGTTGGTTGAGCATTAACTCATGTTTGCTCGGGGAAGCACTGAGGGGGGGAGGTCACCAGTCTGATTCCCCATTGGGGCTTAGTCCCCAGTTTGGGTATGATGTTCGTTTCTCTCTCTCTCTCCCTCTCTATTCCTCTCTCTCTAAAAGAAAAAAAAAAGCATTTATTTATAGTGAATGAATTATTTTCTATCGGAACACACTGTTATTGTTTTTTCAATTACATACCAATATATAGTATTTTATAACTTTAAGTTTCAAATGATATGTAAATAAGAAATAATTTTAAAACTTGGAACAAGTTGAAAACTTGATAATTAATACAACCTATAAAGAATGACATTTTAGAAAGCAAAAGTGGAAATTAAAGGCTGAGAGACTAATTGCAAATATACTGTCATAGTCACTTTTTATAATTGGTTTCATAAAAGACTCAATACATAGCTTCACTGAGCTGGAGATTTAAATCTGTTCATGAAGTTGTTTCCCATGAAAATAATATATTACCCCCAGATGCAAAACTGAAATGTGAGCCTACTAGACAAACCATAGAAACATGTCTCCAGCTCCCAGACAGCTTATTTCCGGCGTATAAGACGACCCCCTAATTTTACAGTTAAAACATAGGTGTAGGCCTATATTTGCTGTATGAGACTATCCCCCACTTCCGAGGCAACACCAGTTCTTTTTTTAATAGACCGCCTCTCTGACTCTGGCCAATCTGAGCCTGCTTTTTACTAAGACACAGTGTTGCTTCAGGTACAGAACATGTATAATTTGCATGCATAAAAAGCCTGCTTGGATTGGCCAGAGTCAGAGAGGCGGTCTATTAAAAAAGAACTGGTGTTGCCTCGGAAGTGGGGGGTAGTCTTATACAGCAAATATAGGCCTAAACCTATGTTTTAACTGTAAAATTAGGGGGTCGTCTTATACGCCAGAAAATATGGTAATTTAAAATCAGCCAGGCACTTTGTGGGTGAAAGTTAGAATTATACTAATGCCTAGAGCCCTAATAAACTGAAATGTAATTATTAAAACAAGAGGCAAATTCCAATGAGCATGTTCTGGACCTCCTTCCATTCTTAATAACATTCTAGTTCTATTTATCTTCTAGCTTCCACTGATTATTTTACAAACATGAGCACATTTTTATACCTATTTCTATATCCTGCACAGCTACCATGGATGTCATCTTGCAAGAAATAAATCAAGGTGGTGTACCAACATTTAATAGAGCTTTAGGCTATCACTACTTAAACTATTAGAAATGGAGCTCTTCCTAGGTTAACGATACATATGTCATCACTATGATGGGAAGCCAGATATTATGCCCCCATCAAGATAGAGCTCACAAAATATTTGAAATAAATAGCATGATCTGACTTTGGTACACACACACACACATACACACACACACACTGCATACTGGTTTTGACTTATACCTAGAATTATAAAATGGTATTTTTACTGAAATATTGCAAAACTTACTAATTTTATAAGTTGTGCCTTTATTTTTATTTTATTTGTTAATCCTCACATGAGGATATTTTTCTACTAGTGACCCGGTGCACAAAATTTGTGCACATTAAAAGGGAATTAATTAGAGGAAATATTTTAATATTGCTATTTGCCCTTTCTCTATAATAGAAGTGTCAGAGATGAAAGAAAATTAGTAAAATGTATATGAAAATATTCCTCAGAGTCTGAAGTCTGAAGCATGTCACAGGAATCAGAGTCAAGTCTCTGCCCACACATGTGCACCTCTCTCGAGACCCAGACCCAGCCAGCCCCACCCCCATTGGGCTAGATCCAGACCCAACTGGCCCCACCCCTGTCAAACCCAGCCGAAGCAGGAGGTATGGCCTGAGGTCCCCCGTGAGGCCCCACCAGGCGGGGAAACAGCCTTCAGGTCCCCAGGCCCAGCACCTGAGTAGGGGGCATGGTCTGAGGTCCCCCAGACTGGGCCAGGGCAGGAGGCACACCTTCAGGTTCCCTATCAAGCCCCACATGGCAGGGGGTGCAGCCTCCAGGCCCCTGGCCTGGTGCTAGGGTAGGGGGAGCAACTAAGGTCCTTGCTGATTGCTCGTTAAGGATCATTATAGGAACTCGGCCCTCACTGTGAGCACAGCCATCTTGTGTTACAGAATCCTGCCTCTACTGTGAGCGCAGCCATTTTGAACACTATGTCATGATGGTCAATTAGCATATTCCCTCTTTATTAGATAGGATTGATTCTTAGGGAGAGTAGAAGAGAGAGGGAAAGAGAGAAACATCAATGTGAGAGAAAAATATTGAGAGTTTGCCTCCTGCACACGCCCTGACTAGGGCCAGGGCTGGCGAGAAGCCTGCAACCAAGGTACAGGACCTTGACCGGAATAGGACCTGAGACCCCTTGGTCTGCAGGCTGACACTATATCCACTGAGTCAGACCAGCTGGACTATAAATTGTGCTTTGAAAACCTCCTTTGCTAAGAGTTTATATAAGGAAATTGAAGGCATTAGGCTGGGGAAAATATGAAAGGCTAAGTGTCTAAATTTGAGCAAATTATGTTCTAGACTCACCTAGAAATCAGAAAGTATTATTCTAACCCAGGCAACTTATAGTTAGATAATAGAAAAACAAAACATTTTTAAAGCTGCTCTATGTTATAAAAGTATTATACTGTTGTATAACATTTGCTCTAATTGAAATAAATTCTCATTTTGGTGGAGAGAGAGGGTGAGGTATCAAAAATCTAGTGAAATAGTTGTACTCCTGCAATTATATTGTCCTAAACTGCTCTTCCTCACCTTCTGACTCTAAGTCATATACATTGTAAAATGATGGCCTTGGCTGGTTTGGCTCTGTGAATAATGCATTGGCCAGTGGCCCTGGTCAGGGTGCATGTGAGAGGCAACCAATGTGTCTCTCTCACATCTTGTTGTTTCTCTCTCTCTGTCTCTCCCCCTCCCTCCCACTCTCTCTAAAAACCAATAGAAAAATATTCTTGGGTGAGGATCAAAAAACAAACAGGATGACAATGATCTTATTTTTGGACCATAGTCTTCATTATTCCTTGTGCAATACCTGCCAGTTTACTTTTCAATGGATTTGGGGGGAAATGCATAGAATGAGCTGCTCTAAATGTTTGAGCTATGAGTGCCCTATCATTATAGTAGTCAAGTGTTTAGGGGGAAACCTTATGATCAAATGGAGGATTGAGCTATATGAGCTTAATTCTTCTTTTAAAATTCTAATTTCATGATTTGGGATGAGCCAAATTCTATTTAATTAATATTTACTGAATTATATGTATACTAAACTCACTGTTTAGCTGTAGGAAATCTAAGAAAACAAGAGTCCCAGAGTATGGAAAATATTTTACTGCAGCAACTGCTACAATTCATTTTTTTTAATGAATAAAGTTAAAAGGGTGTTACCAAAATCTTTTGCATATGCCAAAGGCCAGAGCAGCATTAGGTAATAATGGGATAAAATAACTCTGTGATTTGTCACATATTCCCAATCTCATTGAAAGT